AAGAGAGGGAAGGAAAAATTGATGTTGCAAAGAAACATCAATAACCTCCCACTGGGGACCTGCATGTGCCCTGACAGGAATTGAACTGTCGACCCTTTGGTCTGAATGCCCAGCCCACTGAGCCACACAACGTCAGGGCACATTTGATGGTTTTATATAATAAATTTATAAAAGATGTGATTAAAATCTGTTAATGGATTATAGAAACATGAGTTTTGAGCCCAATCACATTATTCTGTACTTCAGAAGGGGACAGATTGGAAGCATTTTCTCACAGCATCTGAATAGATCACAGCAATAATAATAATAATAATAATAATAATAATATATAGGTGTTCAAGTGGTATTCTATTATCCCCAACTATTTTTTGAGTACTGGTTTCACAGGTAATAATTTCTAGTAAGTGGTGAGAGCAGGAAAAGAGCGGGTACCAGTAATGTGTTTCCTAATGTTTGCTAAAGGAATAACATGGATCCTTGTACTGGAGGCAAAACCTTATTATTACAAGTATATTCATTCATATTTTTGTCCTATCCACTCACCTATATATCTCAGACTACAAAGTGTAATTCACTCAGTCATTTCTAAGTATCAGTGGCTGTTTTCTTACTATTTCTAGTGGCAGGAGTCTCTCAACCTCGCTGTGTGTGTCTGAGCGCTGAGTGTAGCAACAGAAGGCTCAGGAAATAAGGTAAAGAAAATTAAGAGCTGGCCACTCCCATCTAGGTCACCATCTTTATTGGTTTCCCAGAGCTGAAATAACAAACCGCCACATGCCAGGTAGCTTTAAACAACAGAAATTTATTCTCTCATAGTTCTAGAGGCTAGAAGTGTGGTATCAAGGTGTGGCCGAACCTCTCTGCCCCCACAGCCTCTGGGGGAGCATCCTTTCTTGCTTCTTCCATCTGGTGGCTCCTGGCATCCGTAGCCTGTGGCAGCAGAACTGCAGTCTTGGCTTCTCTATCTACAAGGCCTTCTTCCTGTGTCTCGCTGCCTCAAGTCTCTATCACCATTCTCTTCTAAGGTCACTAGTCATTCGTTGAATTTAGGGACAGGCCTAAATCCAGGATGAACTGAACTTCACTTGCTCAAAATTAATTGCACCTGCAAAGACCTAATGTCCAAGTAAGTCACATTCATCACAGGTAAAGAATGTTAGGACTTGGAGGTAATTTTGGTGGGGGGGAGGGGTTGGAATAATTTAACCGCCTATACCCTCCAATAAAATGAAAGAGGGTTGTTCTGAAATTCCAAGGATTCAGTTTTTCCTGAAAAAAAAAAAAGAGAAAAGAAGTAGTTTATTCCTGGTATGTATGTACAGTACTCCCCTTTATTCTATGAGAAATACATTCCAAGACCCCCAGGGGATGCCTGAAACCTTAGCTAGTACCAAACCCTCTATATAGTCTGTTTTCCCCTATACAAAGATACTCATGATAAAGTCTAAACTACTTCTGTACTTTGGGGCCATTATTAAGTAAAATGGGGGTCCCTTGAACACAAGCACTTTAATATTATGAGAGTGGATCTGATAACCGAGACGGCTACTAAGTGACTAAGAAGCCGGTAGTGACTATGGCTTGGATACTCTGGGCCAAGGGATGAATCATGTCCCTGGAAGGACAGAGAGTGGCAGTGGTAGATTTCATCAGAGCAGCATGCCATTTAAAACCTAGGAATTGTCTCTTGATGGAATCTTCCATTTAATGTTTCCAAACCGTGGTTGACTTCAGGTAACTGAAACTAAGGAAAACAAAACGGTCGAGAAGAGGGAGACTACTGTATGGAGGTTATGGGCAGCTAGGAGAGAAATTGTTGATGTAAAGTTTCCAGTATGCGAGGGATTATCCAGCGCGTTCTTCAGGGTTCTTTTCTACAACTAGGATTACTAGGTCAGAGGCAGACACATTGTTAGAGATTTTAATGCGTATTTGTACACCATCCTTCACTAACCTCTAACACTCCAAGGGTATTTGACAGTACTCACTTCATACTTTCAGCCATATTAGATAATATTATTCCTTAATATTTTACTTATTTCATATTTAAATAATGATAGTTTGCTTGTGTGCCTTTCTTTACTGTAATGGAAGGTGTAATTTTAATAATAGAAAATCGTTAAAAACCCATCAGAATTAAGTACTACAAGCATAGGTGTGCAACATTGATCTATTTTAGTTAATTAAATCACACTTATAGAATATTTATAACCATAAATACCTACAAAACTATTTTGTTAGTTTTTTAATTTTCTTCCGTCCAGCGAACAGTGTATTTATTGTGTGTTACGGTGCGCTGGGGAAGAGGTAACAGGAGGGGGCAGGGCCTGGCTCCAGGAAAGCTGCAGAGGCGGCTTCTTGGCCTCAGGCATTTGAGCCAAGGTCTGAAGGAACGGCTCTAACAAAACACAGGGCCTCCAGGGTGGCTGGGTGCTGTGGGAGTTCGGGGGTGCTGTCCGAGAAGCCTTGGAACAGACAGGTCACGGTGGAGGACTAGCCCGGCGTCTGAGCTGCATGCTGCCCTCCACCCCCGGGGGCAGGCGCGCAGTGTCCCCAGGCGGCTCCCGCGTTGAGTGCTGCCTCACACAGGGTGGGAGGGCTGGTCTTGCCCTTGGCACTGCGGCGCATGCTCTGCAGACTGGGCAGCGGCCAACCACAGTGACGGAATTGTCCCGGTACCGGGTGACATTTCGACTGTGGACGTCCTAGATTCTGGGCTGGTGGGTGGATATCCCAGTGACGGGGTAGGGGGATGGCGCCGCAGCCTAAAGTCTACGGGAGTTATTTGAAAGGTATGTAGTATGGATCCGGCAGCATATTTTTATAAAAACAGCTTTTCTTTTTTGGAGCGCCTCATTACCAAAAATATTGTACAATATGAAAAAAGGAACAATAATTTAAAAACTCACACCAACACGTTATCATCATAGATAAACACAAGGAGTTTAGACCTTGAGAGAGTTCCTTGTACAGTTCTGGCTTGTGTCTATGTATATGATGAAAAAGTTGAACAGTCCAAAATTACTTCATATTTACTTAATGCATTATAATTTGTAAATCGTTTTATTCATTTAGAGTTTCTTAAGATTCTATTGTGGGACAATTCATATAATAAATTACTTGTTGGAGACTTAGTAATAAAATTTTAAAATAGAAGTGGGAAAATGGATTTTTTAAACAATTAAAAAGCCTGACGCTGTAAAAAACAAAGTCATCATTTCAGTCATGGTATCCTGATAGCCCATTTGAGTTTCATCAAATTGCTTTCACCAAATCATATGTATTTTTTGCACATATCTTAGCTCTCTCAACACAGAATAAAATAGTCATTCACACTTCTATCCCAAATGCCACCTTAACCTCTAAAGACTGGGGAGAAACTGAGCAGAACTGAAACAGTTGAAATAGCCATCCTGAGGGTGAGAGAATTTCAGATTCCAGACCATAGGAAAAGACGGAAATTAGCACCGAAGAGAAGGACCTGTATTCAAATACCGCACTGAAATGAAGTCAGACGTGGGAGCAGGACTGGAAGTAGAATGTGGGACCCAGAAACCCAGAGGAAATTTTGCCATGTGGACGTTGTTTAAAAATCAACGCTGAGGATGAACCTACATCAATGGGTGGGCGGAGGGAGGTAAAGAGATTATTTCCGGACATTCCAGAGGGAATTAATCTAATGAAGCCTGTGGGAGTCCATCTCGCCAGTCTTCCCCACCGCAGAAACCTGATCAGGGCGGAGCTTCAGGGATCCTTTATAAAGGCCGCTCAGAAGCCACGTTCACTCTGCCTGGAGGCCTCTGACCTTGGCTGGACTGTGGGAAACTCGGAAAGTTACAACAGGCGTCCGCCACTGAGCCCAGACAACAGAGAAGCCCTGACCCAACGAGCACTGATGAGACGAATTATACAATCACCAGGTGGGCACACACCTGCAGCAGGATGAGTTCTTCTTTCCTTAAAAAATAAACATAATAATTTAATTTAACTGTCAGCTGGCTTAAGACTTTTCTAAGAAAATGTAATTTTTCTAATTAATTAAAATGATGTTACTTTTAGTTTACTCTTGAGCTATAAAATTTTAATGTTGTTTTGACAGTTACAGATTTGCATAATTATTTTTTTATTTTTTATTCCTTATCAATACAAATTTGATACCTAGAGGGAAAGTTCTAGATTTTCTATAGTTTATTTTGGCATGAAACATAAAACTTAATTGGAAAACCTTGTTTTAGAACAGTAAAAGTGACAGAGGCTTAAAAATGAAGAAAAGTTAACTGAATAAAATTGTAAATATTGCATAATCCTCATTTGATCCTTAACATTTGAAGGGAGAAGCAATCTACATAGCTCATAAGAAGGCATTCACTCCTCCACACCCCAAATAATTATCGATTAGTCATTTACTGCAGGTTTAAGATTCATTCATAAAATATACCAGTGTGGAGTGCATGCCTCCCTAGATTGTTTCATTTATTTCCAGCTTGTACCTTCTGCATGGGCACCCGAGTGCACTTAGAAGGTGGCCCCTCTCGAGGCACTACCTTTCCTTTCCTTTCCTTTTAAAACAGTTCTCTTTTCATTTCAATTTTTTGCTCTCCTTCCCCAGGGCCATTTTCTTACATTGACCCAGGAGTAGCCAGTTGTCACTGTATTTAAGACAGGCCCTGGTGAGATTTGGCAAAAGGCAGGATAGAATGAAAGGCAACAGGATGATTTTGAAGAGTGATAATGGAGCATATGATCGGTAAACATAAATTTCACTTCAGAGGTAGACAATTTTTCATTTCTTTTGTTAAGGCGAGTGAGTTACATGAGGAACATATATCAAGTGGATTGTGATTTTCTTATTCCTTTCTTGTCTTTCTCCTCAGAAATATAGAACTGCATAGAGTGCAAAACTTCTAAAAGAGCTCAACTGCTGTCTTAAGAGTGAAAATACTTGAGTCTGCTGTGGTGTCTGCACAACTGGGACCTTGTAAGTGGCCCAAAGTCCTGAAATGGCATCAACTAATGGCCAAGACCAATGGCCCAAAGAAGACATTGCAATCTTACTGGACCGCCTAGAGAATAATCTCCCATCCAATGACAGCCACACATTCAGAACAACCCAGTCACATATGGACTGGGAAAGAGTAGCTTTTAAAGATTATTCTGGAGAAATGTGCAAACTCAAATGGTTAGAAATTTCTAACAAGATAAGGAAGTTTCGCACTTTGACAGAATTAGTCCTGGAAGCTAAGGAACATCTTAGAAATCCTTACAAAACAAAAAAGCTCAAGGCACACCCCGACTTACCCACAAAGCCCCTGAGTGCTTACCTCCGCTTCTTCACCGAGAAGAGGGCTCAGTACTCCCACATGTACCCTGAGCTGAACAACCAGGAGCTGACCAAGGTCCTGTCTAAGAAATACAGAGAACTCCCTGAGCAGATGAAGCTGAAATATATTCAAGATTTCCAGAAGGAGAAACAGGAGTTTGAGAAGAAACTGGCTCAGTTTAGGAAAGACCACCCTGATCTAGTCCAGAACTCCAAGACATCTGTGGCCCCCAAGGGGAGCCCAACCAAAGCCCAAGAGACGCTTCAGGAAAATGTGGAAGAAGTGGAATCCCCCTCAGAAAAGGATTTTCCTGACGTGATGAAATTCCATGGAGAGCCCAAGAAGCCCCCAATGAACGAATACCACAAGTTCCACCAGGATTTGTGGTCAAGTAGGGAGCTGCGCGACCTGCCCCTGAGGGAGCGCATGGTGGAGATTGGCAGACGCTGGCAGCGCATCCCGCAGAGCCAGAAGCAGCATTACAAGAAGCAGGCCGAGGAGCTGCAGGAACAGTACAAGGTGAACATGCATCGCTGGCTCAAGACTCTGTCTCCTGAAGAATACGCTGCTTACAGAGAGAGGACCTATACTAAGCGTAAGATCATGAACATGAATGAAGGCCCGGACCCCAAGATCATCAGGACAGATGTGCACTGTCCCTCAGCAAAGACTCTGCAAGAAGGACTGCCACAGGAGCAAGGGCTTGGGGCTCCAGAGACAGAATCTCTAGGGACTAGTGGGGCCCATTGCCATGCCTCACAGAGATCGGAAGAAAATAAGGAAGATGGGGAAAAGGCAGAAGGCAGTAGCTCCTCAGACTCCATCAGTGGGGATGAAGATGAAGACTCTTGAGTACAGCAACTGCAGTTCATCTTCCTCAGGGATCACCTCTGACTCAGGCTCCAACTGAGCTTTGTTCATTTCTAAAATGGTAGGACAGAAAACTTCCCAACAAAAGTCCATGACTTTTATGTCATATTGAAGGTCTTCCTTTCCCTTTTCATTTCTTTGCTTCTTCCCTCATTTGCCCTACTCCTCAATAGAGTAGAACAGGTTGGGAAAAAAGTAATTTGAAACAGCACTGTTATATCAGGTTCATAAACCTGGGAGGAGAGGGTCCTGCTGGGAGGAGAAATATAAGTTATGAGCATGTATTGGGTCCCCCTACACCATCTTTTCCACTCCCCCAGGAACTTCTTGCAATTAAATCTCTTGACAATTGGGTTGCAGAGGTCACACTGCATTAGACTGAATATATCTGAAGTAAGAAGTTTTGCTATTGGAACGTTTTGCAGGTTGCCGGATGGGAGGGGCGTTGGGGGGCATGGGCAAAAAAGGTGAAGGGATTAAGGAGCATAAATCAGTTGTTATAAAATAGTCATAGGGATCTGCTGCCACCTGAAGCTGCCAGAACCCTCAGCCTTGCTGTCCCTTCCAAGCCTCCCGCACCATGTCCTCGGAGAAGGCCTTCAAGCAGCGTCGCACCTTTAAACAAAGAGTAGATGCCCGACTTGTCAGGGAGCAGCATCTGATCAAAATCCTGGTGATAATAAAACGATACAAGGGTGAGAAGCAGCTTCCTGTCAGGGATAAAACCAAGTTTGTTGTACCTGATCATGTCAGCATGAGTGAACTCATCAAGATAATTAGAAGACGTTTACAACCCAAAGCTAATTGAACCTTCGTGTTACTGAATGGACACAGCATGGAGAGTGTCTCCACAACACTTTCAGAAGTGTATGGAAATGAGAAGGATGAAGATGGCTTCCTGTATATGGTATATCCCTTTCAGGAGACATCTGGAATGAAATTGTTGCCGTAAGACTAGAAAAATGTATCTGTTCTAGAATTTCTTAAACCCTTACCAATCTAGAATTTCTTAAACCCTTACCAACAAGAAAAAGAGAGATGTTACCAACTGAGATTGATCAGTTCATCTAATCACAGATCATCAAAACAGTAGTGTTCCTGCCTAGGAGTTTTAGAAAGTTGTTTTTGTACTTCGAGCAGAAAAACTGAGCTCCAATAAGCATATTCAACTTTGGAAAACTATATTATTTAACCTAGGCTGTCTTGTTTTCAAGTTTAGAAATTTAAAAATAAAACACTTTGCATTCTGAGCTACCAATAAAATAGATCTTCAGTTATTTTAATGCCTTTCCACAATAGAAACTTGCATTTTGAGTATTCAGAGACAATAAACCTTATCTATAGGTTCACGGAAACAGCCAACTTTTTAATTGAAGGATTTCTACCCAACTAGAGAGGTTTCTAATAGGATCTTTAAGAGTAAGTTGTCCTGCATAGCCCCCCAAAATACATTTTCCAGAATAGTTGGCAAAAAGCACCAAAAAGGGGTATGTAAGAAAACTGAACTGCTGTTAAAGGTCCCTGATTCCTAGTGAGCACACAAGTTGGCTCTTGCAGTGTTACGAAACTCTTATTTGGTTTGTTCAAAGACAGTAACACACAGAAAACTACCATTTTTCAGTAGGAATCTTGAGTAATTTATTTTGGTCTAGCTTCTCAAAAACCCAGAGGAAAAAAGTGACATTCCTGCTGTTTTAGATATTCTCTGATTAAAGAGCTCAAACTAGTCCCTGCTTTGGTAAATAAACAAGCAATTGTATCAGTTTTATTCTTTAGGGCAGGAGTGGAAACTACAGAATCCTGAAACTGAAAACATTAAAATTCAGATGCACTTCCTCTACATTTAGGCTTAAAGCTATAGATGATCCATGTTGTGTTAAGTGTGTGACTAAAATATGTTATTAAAAAGTTACCACATTTTTATGAGTATTTCATTTATCACTGTTAAGTCAAACAACCATCAAGATTCCCACACTCTTAAGTGCATGTTAGTTGTGAAGAAAACAGTGAAATGAGATAATATTCTCTTGACAAATACTAATGTCAAAAGTTAAAACTTATTTTCCAAGTCCAACTAGAATAACCAATACTTCCTACTACCTGCATAGAGTTCATTATTCACTATTTTTAGGGGAGTATCACAAAGAGATCACAGACCACTCTAGACTACATGTAGCAGGTCATGATTTGCCCTTGTATATTTAGATGTGTATGGAATACCTGCATCAGTTAATGGAAATTATTTACTGTAATGGAGAGATTAGGCAATATTACTGCATATGGGCCTTCAACCCCCAACCTCCCATCACCTACTACTGCTGCTGCATGCATGTCTTTCCACATGGCTAAGTTTTAATATGTATATTTTTACATTTTGTACATTCTTAATTGGCCTGTCTTGTTTAGATTGCATATGTCATTATATCTGACATTCTTGTAACTACTATGTGAACAATAAGATTCCTATAAGCAATTCTGCTTTAAAAATAAATACCATGGCAAGACGGGTGACTTATATCCCATATTAGCAGGTGGTCACTCTATATTTATAGGATCTTTAAAACAAGTACATTTTTAATGAACTAAGGTGAATAAAGGCACAATTAAAAGCTGTAAAAAATAGTTATGAGGATATAAAGTATAGCATACGGAATATAGTCAGTAATAGTCTAAAAACTATGTATAGTGTCAGATGGGTACAAAACTTATTGGGATGATCATTCATTAAGTTATATAATGTCTAATCACTGGGGTGGACACCTGAAACTAATATAATAATGTATATCAACTCTACTTTTTAAAAAATGATTTTAAAAAAGTTTTGCTTTCCTCATTTTCTGTCTGGCAGAGGTTGTCTGGGGCCACCTTGAGCCTGTGGCTCCTAGGCTCCCTACAAGAACTGTACGTCTGGACTCTTGCACTACATCTGGTGTGAAAAAGGAGTTAGCCATTCCGAAATGTGAGAGTGGGCAGCTCATGTAGGAGGCAGTATTTATATATGTCTCTTTAAGTCTTGCCTCTCTATGAGACATCTCTATAACTTCAAAAATATATATACATTTCTTAAAGTTCACTATTTCATTTGAATAAGTGCCTCCACAGAACAGAGTCTAAATTCCTTCCTGTTGCTCCTGGTGCAAGTGAATCTCCTATTTAGCATTCAGGATTGATGGAGAGATAAATAGATATACAGAGGTACATAGATAAATACATAGATTCTTAGAGAGATACAGACATAGATAGATACACTATTCTGTTCTACTGGTCTATCTGTGGATTCTTGTCTCAGTACCCCATTGGTCTGATTATTTAGTTTACTGATATGTTTGAAAATCTATTTAAGGTTATTGCCCCCTGGTTAGATTTTTTTTCCTATATATTGCTGGCTATTTCCATATTGTGTTCTCATGCATATAAACACTATAAAAGTAATTGTATCTTTTTCCTATGAAAACCATTAAGGTTTAAACATTTAGATAACCAGAAATCTTAGTGAGTTATTATTATTTCTTTCCTAGGTAAATGAGCAGTTTCCAAAAATAATGGCAACATTAACATTTTTTTTATTGTTGTTCAATTACGGCTGTCCCACATGTTTCCCTGTTTCTCTCCCTGCCCTACGCCCCACCCCCACAGTCAATCTCAACATTTTTTATACCTCTAATTCTTTTTAAATATGTTGGTTGGAATATCCAGAACAATGCTAAGTAATAACAACGATATATACTTGTCTTCCTTCTGCTTTCACACTAATGTTTAAAAGATATGAAACCATTGAAATTATGCTAATTAATATATATTTAAAATAGATTGTAACCTATTCAGAAAATGACTGTTTACTTATATTGCTTTTTATAATATAATGTGTATTATTATTTAACAAATCACTTCTACCATCTATCAATGAAATTTTCCTTAGGTGTATTACTATCACAAATTGGGTTATTGTGCTACTTAATATTAAACCTTCATCATATTCCAGAAGTAACCTACTTTTTTATTCCACATTGAAAAGATGATTAGAATATAGACATATTTTCCAGCCTTTCTTATGCTGGGAATGTAACATTTGCACAGTTTCTGGATATGCTCATTATGTTCACTTTTTTTTACTTTATTTTTATTATTGATGTTATTATAAATGTCCCCAATTCCCTGTCCCCCTTTGCCCACTTCCACCCAAGCCCCTATCCCCCATCAGTCTTTTTCATGATCTAGATTTAAATTGATTTCCTCTAACAAAAACTGAGTAGGGACAACAAGGTGAGGAAAAGAGGACATGTTAATTATTACAATGAGAGCTGGCTGGTGTGGCTCAGTGGACTGAGTGCCGGCCTACTAACCAAAGGGTCGCTACTTCAATTCCCAGTCAGGGTACATGCCTAGGTTACAGGCCATGTCCCCAGTACGGGACACATGAAAGGCAACCACACATTGATGCTTCTCTCCCTCCCTTGCCCTTTCTATAAAAATAAATAAAATCTTTTAAAAAATTCTTACAGTGAAGCTGAAAGATTTCCCCCTCTTCCTAGAAAATAAAAATGTGTTTAAGGTAAAAAACTTAGGGAGGAAAATCTCTCAGAACTGTTCCAGACACCTGGACTGGGCCAGACTGGCACTTAGTCTTTCACTTTGCCTAAAATTGGGGAGAAATTGAATGGTGACTATCACAGCATCCCCTGGGAGACACAATGTGCATGTGTCTGAAAGACTGGAGGAAGGGCAGGTGTCCCTTGTGCCAGTGATGCTTGAACTCAGTCTCAAGGAGCTGGCAAGTTGAAGAGGGAAAATGAGATTGCAGAGTGATTTGCTTCATACATTTGCCACTCTTCCTGATTGACTCATTCATCAGGCACCGCTTTCCAAGCACCGTAAACTCCCGGTCTCTCAGTCGTTTCTGCTGCTTTCCCTGCCATGGGGATCTGCATATTCTTATTTTAGTCCATACACTTCTCTGGCATGGCCTGATTATGCCCCATGTT